ACATATAAGACGATGTGTTTAAAATAAGTGTGTTCAAATAATGTACAGTATTTTTAACAATTATAACTTTTTTGACAACTACATCATCAATAAACACTTAAAAAGACACAACTACATTACAGTGTGTATTACCCCATTAATGAATTGTTTATATACTGCTTATAAATGCTAAAGAAATAGAAATTGTGTGTTACCATATTTACATTTCTGCTGACTGTTTCACATTTCTAGCAGGAAAACTATTGTCTATTGTCATTATTATTCAGGGATTTAACTGAAAATGTTGTGATTTTGTCAGCAGCACTCTGTCCTAACATGAACAGAAGGCATTTCTTTAAGCTATGATGCAGTGTTGCTTCCAGTGACTGCTATGTACACATGCAGGGAGTTGCAGGGATCCTGGAACGCTCCCATACCTCCCGTCCCCATGCATGTTCGGCAGCAGATGGGCTTTCTCAGTCAAACTCTCAGTGGATTCTGCCATCATTTCAACCAGCTCGCTCCATCACACCGAACACTGACGTAAACACAGAGCCACCGCTGCCAAGCACCGCTGCTGACAGACAGTAAACACCCCTCCTGAACAATGTGCTGCTTTCAAAGCTATGCTGAATTGTCTTCTTGTACTTTCTCCTCCTCAGCCGCAGAAGAATCATACAGAGCAGCAACTAGAAAAATAGATGGGATCAATTATCCCATTTTCCGAGCAGAAAGATAAGAGATAAGAAAGGAATTTCTCCAGTGGCTTGTTTTTGTTTTGAATACTCCTGCTATCCTTCAACACCTTTGGCATTCTCCCCTCACTTGGCGCCAACTGTCACAGGCCAGTTGGTGTCTGCTAATACTTGGCAGGGCTGTTAGTCAGAACCAAGCTGACACAGGTGGTGACTATGGTATTTCACCAAAAGACAACAAAGGCTTAAAACATAAACTACTTATATGCAATATGAAGATTCTAACTAGATTCTAACTAACTAACTCTACAGTTAGTTTCTGTATATTTTAACTATGCTTTGTTAAACTGGTGATTTTTAATCCAGACTGAACGCATCAATTTCAATGACATTAGCTTTCATGTGTTTAGCCGACACTGTTGAAATGGCTGGTCTATTGGTCATTCATAATTACCAATTTTACAAAACAAATTCAACACTGACAACTGCTGTTTCCTTTAATATGAAAAGGGTTTTATACCCTGAGAGATAAAATATAAAAAGATAAACTGTACTTAAGGCACTATATTTTTATACTGTCCACAATATATATATATATATATATATATATATATATGAAAACGTCTTTCATTTCACTTTCATTCATCTCAAAAGTCAACATCAAAAGTTTACATTTTAATCTATCTATCATCTTCTGAAAATGAACTACGTAAATAAAACATGTAAAACAGCATCTACTATCTCTACAGCTATTCATACTGCAACATCCAGACAAGTAGTACTCACGTATCTGTTAATATCACGCCCAACTGTCTGTGAATTCAGATCACTTTTACTAGGTTGAACTTTCCTCTATCATCTTTGCTCTGCCTGCGTATCAGGATCCCTGCTGCTCTGCGTCTTCCTCCTGCTAAACTGTGGATGGGAGCAGCACTCTGGGGCCCTGGTCCAGAGTTAATTAAGAGCTCAGGGAGGAGTCCCCCCCCCACACATGGCAGCCAGCTGGAGCCAGCCTCAGATTAGACTCCCAGAGACGAGGATGAACATGTACACAGATACATAAACATGTATACAAGGGCTAAAAGAATGCACTCTAAAAACACATGCACAATTAGTTAGAGCATCCTTTCTCATAGTTCACTGCCCAAGTCCATGTGCATGTGTTCACGTGCGCGCGCATGCACTCATGCGCATGCGTGCACAGAGCTGAGCAGGGAGGAAGGCATTTAAATTATTGACTCCCTTCCTGTTTGGCTAGAAAACCCACGCTGTTATGTAAGGAGTGGTAAATGCATGACCTCCTACCCATAGTTCACCTCTGCAGAGGTATGTCCTGCCAGAGGCCAATGGCCAATATAAAACTCGTTAGGCCAAAATGAACTGAGCAGTAAACTGAAAGACGACCAGACAGGGAGTATGAAGGGAAAGTAAGCTTTTCTGTCATTTTCCATGCTCTGGCTTAACTCTGAGACAGACACAACCACCCTGGAGCAACACCACCAATCCTTTGTAAGCGGTCACTTTACTGCTCGTCTATTTGTCTTGATGAATGAAAGCTGTGAGGAAGACCTACTTCTAGGATGTCCTAAAACAACGTCACATAGTGTTTTAAAGAACAGATTGGCTGCTTAGCTAAATCAGTGTGCGTAACTAGGGTTCTGTGAAACCTAAGCTGAACATATGTTCAGTACTGGAGAAAAAGTTCACTGTACTTAATATAATGAGTGAATGTTTGTGGTTGTATAAGCAAGATTAAGAAACACTTGACAATATTCTGTATTAAATATTTGAATCCATATTAAAATCTTTTTAGCTTTGATGCTTGTCAGCTGATCTTACAGCTGGTTTCTAAGCAAAAATGACAAGTGTCAGCGAGAAATCTCTGAAATCTGCTGTGTGGGAACAGTGTGTGGGAGTGGGAGCGTGTATGTTTGTGTGTCTATGGCCAGTTCCACTTCCATCACAGTAATAATCTGATTAGTGGAGCTTTACCAGTCTGTGTTCAGGACTGGTTTCATCTACACATGATAGCCTAATCAGGGAGACAACAAGGCTATTCAGCACTGACTGAGAGTGACACCCAAAGCCTGTAAACAGCCCACCAGGACTTGGTCTGTGTGCACAAAACATTTTAAAGGTGAAAATAGAGAGATGAAATTCCACCGACAGTATCCATATGAAATATGTCACCTCTTTTGTGGTCACATAATTGTGAAATAGACAGCATGTCCCATCTGAATCAGGTGAGCACACATGCATTGGTTCAGTTTCCTGCTTAAAGTCTCATATTTGGCCATGACGTAGTTCCTCATTTTTTGATCTGGCAGAAGAAAACAAGACGAAGATTTGGAGCTGCCACGCCCCTTTCTATAGAGCGTGGGAAGTACAGGTACAGCCCAAAACAGGGAGTGTCACCACTCTCACACAGTTGGCAACTTCCTCACCTGATCTGCTGTGGACTGTCACAGAAACAGACCGACAGAAATCTAACACCACACTACTTACAAGGCTTAAAGAGGACAAAACCGCACTGAGCCTCGTTGTCAGCAGTCAACAGTGTAACCTGACAGTGGCACAACAATAACCAAAAGGCTGCTGCATCAACATTCAAAAACCATGAAAACAGAAAGCTTTTTAAGAGCTCAATTCCACTAATATTATGGGGATCTGAGACAATCTTAAACATCGATTCCCATTGGTTTGTGAGCTTGGAAAGCAAACAGTATTTATTTCCGTAGGGCAAATGTCCTTTTTGACTGAGTCACAAAAAATACCTTATTAAAGTGACTTCTGAAGTGCAGGAATAAGACAACTAATGCAGAATACCGTAGGTTCATAACGTTCTTATTGTGCGTCTCATGAGACAGAATTACAAGTGTGTATGAAAAAGAAAGGAGCCTAATGTAAAATGATAGTGTAGTTGTGTAATCCTGTTGTAAAAAATTATTTTATTATCCTCTCTAAAAGCAGAGAACTGTGACCATTAACAACGAATGACCCAGACACCACAGTTTAGCTCTAGTATAAAAGTGCATCTGGGGTGCCGTGAAAACAGGTTCATTAACTGAGTCAACTGTCCTGGTGACTCCTGTGACAAGTATAGCTAAGTTAGTGCTAAGAAAAAGGTGGAATCTGAAAAGAAGGAACTATGAAAGGGGATTATACTTAGTACTTTTCTAAGCTCATAAAGAACTCCGGGCCAAACTGCTTATTTATTTCTGCATTAATTAACTTTCTTTAGTTATAAAGCTCTTTGTAGTTTGTGCCCCCATTCCCTCCTCCCTCCTTCACCAACTCCCTGCACGGCCTGGCATCTCCCACATCACTATAACAACCACTACAATAACCCCCTCTGGACCCATTTCAACCAGGAACACAGGAGGGAAAATCACTGCAACTGTAATATGAATAAGAATATGAATAAGTTAAAAGCGTTATTGCATCACTTTTTACTTGTATTAGTTGTGAATTAAATTAGCAGTCCGTGGGCAGTTAATAGAAAGCGTGTGCTCACCCTGCTCATAGTCGCCGAAGTTGTCCTCCTGACGTTTTTTCTTAGACATCAACAGAGCAGCTGGTTTTGTTGTTTAGCCATAGTGAAGTGGTCCGAGTTTCTCTGAGGTCCAACAGCTTGCTGCCTCGCACTCCTTGTCCTCTCGCAAAAACATGTCGGGTACAAAACCCACGACAAGTGCGCCGCCCCTGCTAACTAGTTACCCCGCAACATATTGAGACAAACGCCTGGCTGACTTTCTTGAAACACACCGGGCTAGCCACTTGAGCTAGCTCACGGTCTCACTAATGAAGTTCTTCTAAATTGCGCAAGCTCTGCGGTTTGTAATTTCGCTTTCGTCGACCGGCAAAACCTGATGGTAGTCAAGTAAGTGTACAAAATAAATGGTGACTCATGTGATACCTGCCGAAGTTGCTCAACGGCTCATAATTTCGCTGATGATTCCAGTTAAAAGAGGTCTTTCTTGGAGGCTCGAGCTGGCGAGCATCACTATGCACTTGTTGCAGTGTTTGCGAGGGGCGGTGCTTCGAGAGGTTAGGATCGAGGTTACTGGTTGGCCGAAGAGTGACCGTTCGGCTGACAGCCAATCATATGTCAATAGATTAGTCCGTGACCACAAAACCACGCCCACTTGGTAACGCTGTCCATTGAAGAAAAGAAAAAAAGAGAACTTCGTGCGGTTCTTTGAAGACAAAAAAAGACTGGGCCTTCCAGTTGTCTTCCTCCTGCATTGTGCCAAGACAATCAATGTCTCAAGTGTCTCCCGTTGTGCGTGCCTATCCCCAAATACCAGAAGAGGAAGAAACTGGATGTCTTAGTAAATTTTGTTCTTTATTTTAACACAACAGGGTAAAAGACTCTAAAAGCTGAGGTAAATTTAGCTTGTGACAACAATGGCACAACACCTCAATTTCATCTAATTAAGGTCGTTAATTTTTTTTCTTTACAGGCTGATGCTTTCATTTCAGGAGAATTGCATGTGATCAAGATCCTGCGAAAAAACAAATTTAATTGATTAATCCACATTATGCACACAATGAAAACAAACCCCAGAACAAATAGCAAAACAACAGTGTAAAATATTCCATTACAAGTAAAAGTAGAGGTCCTGCATTCAAAATATTACCAAAGTAAAAGTATAGAAGTGTTCTCAGCAAAAAGAAAAGTAGGCCTACTTTTAATGCAGAACAATTTCCCAGGCTGTGAGTGTTTGCATTATTGTTTATAGCTGTGAGTTACTGACTGTCTTGAATAACTTGATATGCTTGGGCAGTTAATCTATAACAATTAATTTTATTTTAGAAGCTGTTTTTCATGTTCTTAATCAGCAAAGTAATCACAATGAAATTAATGCAGTGGAGTTTAGAGGCAAGCCTCTGTCTTGACTGATTTCTATTTTTCCTTTAATATTTCACTATTTTATACCAGCAGTTATAAAGAAATCATGCCAAATTCAAGCCTCAAAGATTAAGAACCCAGAGAAAGTAGTGTCATCATCTTCATCAGCAAAGAGCCCATTGAACAGCTCTCCTCCAGCCACCTGCAGCCACACCTTGTCCCCCACGTCCAGGTGCAGCACAGCGCCCCCTGCTGCCTGATCCTCGCTGCTCTGGTAGTTATCCGTGGTGTGGATGATCTTTGCGCCGTTCTTCACGAGAGCCACCTTCACGTTTCTGGAGAAGACCGTGATGTGGTAGGTGAAGAAATAGGCTCCTGCAGCGGAGCATGTGAATCTTCCTGTTTGTGGATCGTAATGATTCTGTTTATTGTAAATAATCTTGTCAAACCGGATCGGTGCATTGGCTGCTGGGAGTTTACTTTGTACTGTGAGTCCCACAGAGAAGGCGCTTTTAGAGATAACAAAAGCCTCTCCCTTCTCACCCTTATCACCTCTCTCTCCTCGAACCCCTCTGTCCCCACGATAACCAATATTGCCTTTGTGACCTGGAAGACCAAGATCCCCTTTAGGTCCTGGCCTGCCAGGGGGTCCCAATGGTCCCTGAATACCCCTGTCACCTTGAAGGCCAATTTCCCCCTTCGGACCCTCTGGTCCAGCAGGCCCTAAATCACCTTTATGTCCTTGGGGTCCAGGCAGCCCGAGCTCTCCCTTATTTCCTTTCAGGCCAACGGGCCCTTGGACTCCTTGGGGCCCCATTTTCCCAGGAGGCCCCCGTTCTCCATTATCTCCCCTTTTTCCTTTGAGCCCTGCTGGTCCAACTGCACCTGTAAATGAGCCCACAATAAACTTCTCTACAGTACAGTACATACATACTCCAGAAAGTCAGATAAGGTAAAACAAATAAATGAATAATATTAAGTACAGTATGTGCAAATAAAGTCTACAGCTGGTAAAAATAGATGAATGTTTCAACACAGGTTACTTTACAGATCTGTTTTTTTTTCAGTGGTGCAGTTTATTTTGCAGATACATACCAGGTTCCCCTTTGTCTCCCTTGTGGCCGTGACTGCCTGCTGGTCCAACAGGGCCAACTTCACCTTTTAATGGGTGATTCATAAATGATTGTTATAATAAATTGCAAAGTTGAAACACAAGACATTTAGGAAAAGTGTATATAGTTCTAAAGAAGAGGTGTCTCCTCTAAACTTACCTTGATCACCTTTGTCACCTCTAAGTCCATCACGGCCGTCTCTGCCAGGTGTACCGTTGTGTCCAGGGTCACCTGGTATTCCAGGGTATCCACAAACACAGCCTTTATTTTGGGTTTCTTCCTGTGCAACACACCTGACCGCCAATATAAGGAGCAAGAGAGTGACCTTAAACCTCATCTGCAACATTGCCCCTGAAGCATGTGTCGAACAAAACGAAAATCGCCTTGTGCAAAATCTTTTAGGATGAAAGAAGTTGAAGCCACTGCATAGTGGGGGGAAAACAGCCAAGACACCAACCAAAGGAAAGGTAAGCTGGACAAGAACTTTGGACAAGAGTGACCTCAGTCCTCAAAGCCATGTCATTGGTCTGACTGTATTTTTGGCTTACTTATTGGGTCTGTCAGTTACGCGTCACCTGTGCCTCTTCAGATGCTTCTCCAGCCTAGTTGAGGCTAATAATAAGCATAGAGTGTATGCGAGGGACAGGCATGCAAGACACAGATAGTTTCACATATGCTGCCTTCCTACGCAGTGAAGCAAACAGGATATTTAACTCGAGCAAACGATTACACGGTGTAACTTCACATCTGCACGGCAGGCTATCTTATTTTTAATTGAGCAATAAAAAGATGCCATTTGGAATGGACGCCTTAGAATAACATTAGCTGTTGCTTTTGTCCAAGATTTAAAGGACAGCACTGTAATGGGCTGTGTCATAACACTAATACACAAGCTAAAATGTTAATTCATGCATGCTTTTCTCATATGTAGTCTTGAAAATGTCAAGTTGTGACAAGTCAGGAACAATTGACCCCATAAACTCGATCACTGCCGTAAAATGTGACCTTTTGTGGTCCAAAGCCTGACACAACCTCACTAGCATGCCTTAGACAAAGATTTCTGCTTATCTTAATGACACTGCCCCTCAGATGTTATCTAGATGCTGATTTTAGTGTTTAGAGTGGACATTTGGTCACTGAATGTCCATTAGGCTGGAAAAAGCTATACAAAAGAAATGGGAAACAATTTGTGAAAGAACAGAACAATATAGTGTTTTAGAAGCATTTTATGGCAGTTTTTGACTCTTCTGTTTTTGCTACACCCTCCAAAAAGGTAAGCTATTAAACAGCATTACTGGACCAGCCAGGGATTTAATATCTTACTCAAGGTCACTCAGCAAGGCAAAGGTTTTCTGGCACACAGGCTTAAATCAGGACTGTCTGGTAGAGGAACCATTACCCTAATCATTATGCTGTGCGGCTGCCCCTTTATTAAATTGTGTACAGTGAGGAGAAACAGCAGGGATGGGCACAAGGGAGGAGCTGGAACATAAAACCAAGATAAGAAAAAAAAAACAACAACACTATGAGCACACAGCATACGCCACTGACTTTCCAGCTTTCGAGATTCTCAACCATGTGACACACAGACGGACACAAATATATGTTCACATACTTTATTTTTTCAATAGTTCTTCTCACAAGCCTCCAGATATAAATATATTTAAAAATATAAACATGACAATACATAAAAGTGCACATTCAAGCAATTTCTTTACATGGCACCAGAAATGGAAACTTCACATTTGGACACAAAATGGACACATCATGGACAAAAGATGTAATCTAACAAACAAATAACAAGGGCATGGCTCAGAATGAATCAAACTCATTTATAATTTGAGGGATATATTAGGACCCAGTCTCTGTAGTCCCATAACCAGGCACAACGTGAGGTTGATTTGGTTACAGAGTATACTGCAACAAGTCTTCGGACAAGATAGCAGAGACATCGTCAGTAGTTGAGTTCCATTAAGTTTAAGGCAAAATAATTAAACAGTAACAGACCATTCTAAAACAATGACCAATGATTATGTTAATACGTGTATATATAAATACAATTAAATAGCATACACCATGCTGTAACAGTGACTTACAGTATTACAGATTGAAAATGGGTAAAACACTGATGGCTTGTTTTGTATAAAGATTTTAATCTTAAATTCTCCATAAGAATAAATTGATGTTGAATGACTCTGAGTAAGTAATCATTTGGACATGGAAAGCAGGGAAACAGAGTAAACAAAGCTAGGGAGGGAACAGCATGTGGCAAAAGGGAATGGATGACCAGGAAAAGAGCTTGAAGAAGGACATCTACAGCATTTGACATCATTTATTAAGATAGAAAGCAGCAGTTTCAGGGAAATTGAGGTTAACATGGCAGGTGCTACAAAGAAGGTTACTACTTTTGTGGTTTTAGTAGAAAACAAGGTCTGGAAGCTGGGGAGCAGGTTAGCTGGTAAGTGGTCTACATGATCTGACGGTGCATACCGTAGCCTGTCATACCAGCTTGGGAAGCCCCGCGGTTGCTGCCCATCTGCAGGCCGATCAAACTCTGGCCTTGGCGGAGCTGCTCCTCACTGAACTCTCGCCGATACGCCTGGGCTTTCCTACACATGTACAACAAGTTACAAGGTGAGGCAGAGGAACATGATGATGCATTATGGGCATGCAATGTTAAGCTCCTCTGTTACAGTGAGATTTCTCTTTACCTGTGAAACCAGTCTCGGTCACCTCGGTAATGGCCATCATCCTTAGTGACCGCCACACTTCCCAGAGCCATAAGAGTTCTTTGCACTGCTGCCATGTCCTTTCCTATAGCCAAAACAAACGTATAATGTTGTTATGACATGAGGTCAAAAGCTGCGATGAAGGTTGTGGGAAAGAAAGACTACACTTCTCTTCAGTCTACCAGGCACAGAAAATTCTGAAGGACCCTTCACATATTCTGCACTCTGAATATGACATATTACTACCTTCAGGGAAACACTAGAGAGCTAGCAGATGTAAAAGTATATAAGCTATATATAAGCTGTCCTTCATCCCTACTTCCATATCGCTCCTAAATAAACAATCTGCTCTGAACAAGATGGCTTGGAGCACTTCCGGCACTTTATTTATTTTTAAGCATAGTTTATTATTGATGATCACTTGCACTAGTGTTTCCTAACAACCGGATCTTAAATGAGTTTATTATTTATTTATTTTTTTAGAAATGCGGCAGTTGTAATTTTAGCGTTTGTTATATTGTTTACAGCTTTATGAGCTCAAGTGCAATTGAATATTATTATTCAGAGGTTTCATATCATTCAGGTTCTACTTCCTTGTAATCAATTACTGACTCGGATACTTGTGCAATGTAATGTAAATGTTTGGTGCAGACGGTGTGATGTATGTAAGTGTAAAGTCCATATGTGTTACTGTTGTTGTATGTTACTGCAGCCTTATGCGGCACTGATGCCCAAGATAAATTTCCCTTAGAGGACAATAAAGTTGATCTTGATCTTGGGGTAAAAAAACCCTCATCTTTGTAAAAACTAATATGAACCACTCCAGCAGTAGATCAGTAAAAATCAGACGTAAATTCACCTTCCCAGAGGTCCACAGTTTGAAATATGTCAGTGGTTGTGACTCCATAAGCTTCAGCTGCTTGCAGGAACTGAGAGATCTTCTCCATTTGTTTGAAGGCCATCTGCGTCTCTGGAATCTTCTTGATAGGCTCCTTTCCCCTCGGATAAAGGCTGTTGATAAGCCTACAGAGGATCTGGGACAAAGGAGGTCAGAAATCTGGTTTGATCACATTAAACTCACACTGACCATACCAAAATGATTTTGAGTTGAGTTATAGTTCAAACTAAGACAATCTTATTTGCCACACTTAAATGCCATAATTAAAAACTGTTGTCATGCCTCCAAAACAACATGTTCTGTGGCTGTGTTACATTATTGTCTGTTGATCCATTTGCTGAGTGTAGAAATTGATGTGTCTGCCTGGCCCATAATGGATTTCTCTGAATAATTTGTTTTAACAATAGAGTCAGCTGGAGTTTTGAGCAAGAAGACATTGCAGCACTGTGCAGGGCACATTTTATAATTGGTTATTAGGTCTTAAAGTGCTAAGGATTTTCAGTGTCCATCAAAGCCTCCCAGACTGACTCAGTTAAAAATTCTACGTTTTCAAAGTAAGGACCACAACATTTCGCAAATTAAAATCAGGCTAATAATGAACACATCCTCTTTTCTATCATTTGAACCTCTCTTTCAGCTAGGAGTGATGAAAATGACCAAATACAATGTCTCAGTAGTGTAAATTTAAAACAATATTATTTACTTAAGCTATCCAAAATAACTGGGCACATAAATCTGGTTACTGTCTTTGGCCTTCTTTACTATATGGACTCTTTAAATCTGACAGAGCTGGTACGTCAAGCTTTAATAATTTAATTGTAACTTCTATTTTAAGTACAGGTGCTGGAGCCACTCACTGTTCCATCCATCAGCCATTTCTGGAAGTTCTCTCTGCCCTGCTGCGGCCTCTCCAGGTTTCCTCCACACTGTGCGACTATCCAGTCCACCAGCCGCTGCTCCAGGTCCGGGTCATACTTCTGCTCAATCTTCTCCTGCACCTCTCGGCTCAGTCCATAGCTGGGCCCTCTGTTCGCCATGGCAGCTCTTGCAAAAACTCTAGTATATGTAGCAGTAGCCCTGAAGAAAACAAATGACACGTGAGGCTGACCTAGTCTGTGACAAACTGCAAAAATATTCTGACAAAAACCATCATCATAATTTTCCTAACATATACCTAAATGTTTGAAGAAAAGCCAAAAAGCCAGGTTTTAGTCTCCCTATAGCAACTGTCTCTCTTTCCAGCTCAGCACTCCACCCAGGCGCATCTCTGGATACTGTAGCAGGGAAGGGTGTGGTCCCTGGCTGCTGTCCCGAACATGGACCAGCCCTCTTATTGCTATGGTAACAATCAAGCCCGTTTCCGGCACGCTGTGTGCAGTGATGGTTAAAGTGTGACCTCCAGTAGGCAGTCATGATGGCGCAAATTAAATAATCAAATGTATGTACTAAAGTGCATTCATAAAGTTTTCCCTCTTACAAAACATGCATTCATACAATATACAACAGTTCCATATAGTTTAAATAAATTAAATTAAGCTACGTCAGTCCCCTGTGCCGCATTTATTTAACCATTCTTCAGTTGATTGTCTGCGTTTCATTTTGGACGCAATTCTCTCAATAAATTCAGTAGATTGAAGTAAAGTCCCGCCATCTAACGTCCACCACATTGCTACGCATTCTGCAGTTTTCCGAAACATTTTACAAACCCAAAGGCAACTGCGCAAAGCTCACGCACACAAACTGCGACACTGCATCGGTTGCATAAACATGTATAGCCATATGCATATAGCTTAAATAATAAGTCACGCACTCGAAGCAGTTTTATGCTATAAAGAATACGTGCACTTACTGAAGAGGAGAGAGTGGTCCGATGTGTCCGTGTCACAGTTAATTCCGCTGAGCTGGGCAGGGCTGAGGATGCTCAACTGCTGAAGCATCCATGAAGCGCAGCACAGGCGCGTCGGGCCAGTCTTGGTTTAATTTGTCCAGGAGGGGCGAGTCTCTCCTTTTATATGGCAGCACCTCCAGGAGGGGTCCCTAGAGACTCTCAATACAGAATGCGATGTGACACTGCTTCCGGACGGTGGTCACTGTAGTGCACGGTCAGCTTGAGGCAGCACGAAGTAACCATCGGCAAACCAAGGCACGTGATGATGCCAAATTAATTTAATTCTTCTTTTCAGACATTAAGTCAATACCGGACATGCATCCAACCTCTTTTACATCATCATAAAAGGATCCAGTGACCAGTTCAGTGGCTGTTGGCCTTTGCCGTCTTGCTTTAAGTTCGTCTACCTCCTGACTTGATGTTGTCCGTTTGGCTTCTCCACAAGGCAGACACTCTGCTTATTGTTTGTTCAAGCGCCTGTCTCTTATTTCAGTAATGACAGCCATTTCTCTTTGCTTACTAAATTAAGTTTTTTTTTCTGGTGGATAAATGTTCATGGGTGAATGCAGTTTGCAGGGTGCTGTAGCTCGTTATGGGAAGTGTGCTGCCTTATTTTAGGCAACCAGACAACAAAACAGCTAAAATGATCTTGTGGTAATCAAAGATCTGTGGTGCAAAAGTATGCTTTAAGTAAAAACTATAGCAAAGGGAGCCCATAGTAAAACATCATATGCAATGCCTTTTTGCACCATCTCTTCTGCTTGCATAAACTTTATGCTGTATGCTCCCACTAAAATCCCAGTGATTTTAGTTGTGACACACAAAATGACTGACTACATAGCTCAACCATGAGTTGAAAGGTCACCGCTGCAGTAAAGGGGATCTGAGAGAGTTAAGTGGTTGGTTTCGCCCCATTGAGCATACTGCTGCTAGTGGCCAATTACATGTTAATAATCAACAGTCCAGTGGCCCCACTCAGCAGGTCTCTCTTTGGCTAGAGGCCAACAGGTATGGGGAGTCAAGTAACAGAACGTTCCGCTAACAAAAATAAACCTCACATTGCAAGTCTTTATGATTTTGACTCACTATTTGAAACCGTGATTCACTGGGTTGACACGCCGGTACATCTGGCAAATTGAGTTTCTGTGAATCTTGTTGTTTACTTCAACTTAGATTTGCATTAAAAATATGCCCTAATTTTGAAATCCTATTTTTATCCATTAAGTAGTCATGGTGATTTGAGTTGGGATCTTTTTTCGAAGCTTTCATAAAAACATTGGTTTCTGTAATATATCTATATTCCCTACATTTATAAATTTAAAGATTTAGTTTTATCCTAATCAATGTATATCAATGTAGTCAATGTATAAATGCGAGTGAATGGTGAATGCAGATGTAGTGTAAAAGTGCTTTAAGTGGTCGAAAAGACTAGAAAGGCGCTATACAAATACGGATGCATTTCAATATCAATAAGACAGATGTTTATCAGCTGATTATGTTGTGTTAGTTGTGGAAACAGACTGAGACCTCCACTCTATGTGCAGAGGTTTTATTGGCCAAAATGGGTGAAAAGTGAATAAAAAAGGCACAGGAAAACTATGTGTCTAAGAGGAAGAGGAAAACAGTCAAACGATAAGAAACAGCAGCAATTGCAGACCTAATAAAGGCAAACATAACACTCCATATTATAACCTGGAACACACAAATGCAACCTGAAGATATAAGGGAACAACTAGCAGGAGAGCTCCCTTTCAATATAGTTTGCACTGTAACGGCATGTGAAAATGACAGATCATGTACAGGGAGAATAACAGATGGATAAAAGGTCACATTTGGCGAGAAACATGCCACTGTTTGGTAAATTTTTAGAGGGCTGACTTCCCAGTAAACACAGTCCTTCTCGCCTTATCTCAGCAACCTCTCAAGCTCACTCAGACCAAAGTGGTCAGCTTGTCTATGAGATCGTCAATAGTGTAGACCATGAGTTTGATATCGTCCTTGTCAGACATACGGTGCTGGCCATGTCGCCGAAGGATGACATCCACGTCAGGGCTGAGGACGCGTTCTGCAACCTGCATGGAGATGTGCCAGGGGACGTCCTCATCTTTAAGCCCATGAATGAGCCGAACGGGACAGGTGATGGGGATGGGACTCTGGAGCACACAGTGATTTTCTGCCTCGTGCAGAAAGTCCATGCTAAATTTGTAAAGACCCTCCTCTGAGTGTTTGGTGGGCACGATCCACTCACCCTTTTCCTCAAACTCCTTGCGTGTCTGCGCATTCAAACACGGACAAATCCAACTCAGAAAAACATTTCAATGAAATAATAATAATAATAAATTTTACTTATAATGCACTTTACATTTCAGGGAAATCTCAAAGTGCTACAACAACAAGGGGTTAAAAACAGTTCCAGAAAATAACAATCGCAATAAAACGACTGCAATGTTTCAAACAACACGAAATGTCATAATATTATATGTTCCTACCTCCAGAGGAAGAGAGTTGAACGATGTGACAAGGTGGTCCGCAGCAGTGGAGATGCCCACCAGTGCTGCAGTCTTCTCTGGTCTTGCAATGGCTGCCAGCAGCATGAGCCAACCACCTATACTGGAACCCACCATTATCTACAAGTAAGAAAAACACTTTAACTAGACTGTAAATCACCTGACCAACTGATAAATAAAAAATGTACAAAAAAAACCCCAACATCTAATAAATTCAATAGCAGACTCAAGCAGCTCAAACACGGCAGTGGAAAACAATGATAGCACAAATGTGGAAAAAGTGCCATCTCCTGGAGACATGGTGTAACATCCAATGACTAGTAGGGATGGAAGTTTGAAGGATTTCATTAATTCCATTGTTGATTCTGCTGTTCTACCAGATTGGTTTTCTAATAAATACCTTTGTTGTGTGCAAACAGAGATTTTGAATAGGCTGCAGGTTTTACAGTGTTAATTATTTTGCTTAATCTCTGTAAAAAGCTGAGTTTGGAAAAAAAAAATATATATACATATACATATATATATACATATACATATATTATATATATATATACATATACATATATATACATATATATATACATATA